AGGAGTGGAATAGTCTGCGAGGTCACAAAGGACCCAGGGTATCTTCTTTGTCACATTGGCTGATGTTCACGTTCATGAGTCCACCATCAGGAGAACACTGAACAACAATGGTGTGCATGGCAGGGTTGAAAGGAGGAACCCACTGCTCTTCAAAAAGAACATGGCTGCTCATCTACGGTTTGCTAAAGATCACATAGACAAGCCATAATGCTGTTGGAAGAAAGTTTTGTGGACGGCTGAGACCAAAATAGAATATTTTGGTTTAAATGAAAAGTGTCATGTTAGGAGAAAGGAAAACTGCATTCCTGTATAACCTCCCATCTGTGAAACATGGTGGTGGTAGTATCATGGTTTGGACCTGTTTTGCTGCATCTGAGCCAGGACGGCTTGCCATCATTGATGGAACAATGAATTCTGAATTTTATCAGAGAAATCTAAAGGAAAATGTCAGGACATCTGTCCATGAACTGAATCTCAAGAGAAGGTGGGTCATGCAGCGACAATGACCCAAATCTGACAAGTGGTTCTACCAAAGAATGGTTCAAGATGAATAAAGTTCATGTTTTGGAATGACCAAGTCAAAGTCTTGACCTTAATCCAATCAAAATGTTGTGGAACGACATGAAGCAGCAGTTAATGTGGAGAACCACCAACATCCAGAGATGAAGCTGTTCTGTACAGAGGAATGGACTCAAATTCCTCCAAGCCGGTGCAGGACTGATCAGCAGTTGCCAGAAATGTTTAGTTGTAGTTGTTGCCGCACGAGGGTGGGGGTGGGGGTGACGTGTCACGTCATATACTGAAAGCAAAGGTTCACATACTTTTACCACTCACAAATATGTAGTATTAGAGTGGTGGCGCAGAAGTTAGAGAAGGTGGGCCTGTGATCGGAAGATCGCCGGGTCAACTCCCGGTACCGACGACATCAAAATGTTGGTGGAAAAGGTGAAGCACCCACACCTGCCTCCATCCTCATTTACCCCACTCTGAGCCCTCGAGCAAGGTCCTTAACCACCACCATCTGCTACCCGGGTGCCCTAGATGGCAGCTCTCTGCTCCACACAGAGGGCTGTGGTAGCTCTGTGGGCAGTGGTTGCATCAGGAAGGGTATCCGGCGTAAAAATAATTGCCAAGTCTTCATGCGAGTTAGTTTGATGTGGCGACCCCTGAAGAAGGGAGCAGCCGAAAGAAGAACAAGATTTGATGGGGAAACGTTCTCAGCTATCACCACACCAAATTTCAGCTCAATATCAATAAAATCTCTAATTTGGTTTCTTGACCGCATAAAGTCCAAGAGAAATGATAAATTATGAGAAACATCTAAAATATTCCGTACATTTTTATTATTTATTTCTGAAAGAAGCAGTTCTCTGCTTAGTGTTCAGTGCATTGTACTGATCGCTCTCCTCCAACACCTCTTTTTGTTTCATCGCACAAGATTGTGATGATTCGGACTTAAAGTTGTTTCTTTTTAATTCTCAATAAAATATAAAAGTTTTAAAAATTGTAACTCAATTTGGAATTTTTGTCTCCAGGAGATATGTTTATATTTGAAAATTGTAAACAAAGGAAGAAAAACAAAACGATAACTCAAGCATTTTTAGAGCTATTCAGCTGCAGCAAATTGTATATTTTGTTTGTAATTTCTATTACAGTTTGAAGATGTGCACCCCACCACTGGATCTATCTTTTAAAGATATCAACAGCACAAGAGGTGAGTTCATTAAATTCCTAACGGTAGGAAATAATTAGTGCACTTATTTTCTTATTATTTTCTTTTCCGGTAATATTCAATAAGACAGAATACTTTTTTCTATGTTGTAATAAAAGACAAAGTGTGCATCAACTAACCAGATTTGCTTTGTTTGTTTTTCAGCTGCGGTATCAGAGGAGCCCACCCAAGGCCGGCACCCTCTAACCAAGAATTCAGACGGGAAATACGAGACTCGCTCGATGCGTCTCAGCTACAACAACCTGGCTGACACCGTTGGTCTAGAGTTGGTGCTCACCTACTTCCTGGCTGAGCCATACAACCTCGGCTGGCTCGATCTCTCCTTCAACAAATTACCGTACATAGACGAGGTAAGAATTTGAGTTGCCTTCTGTACTTGCTTTATTAGTCACTCATGTTTGTCTGGGTAGTCTTTTTTTTTTTTTTTATTAAACTTTTCAGTCACTTTTATAGTTGTAACTAACAACATTTAAAAATCATTTAAATGTATTTACACACTATTCTTTTTACTAATAGAATAGAAGACCTTTATTGTCATTGCAGCTGATTACAATGAAATTTGGGTTTGCTTCCCAGCAACACATGCAGATTGATATTAAGATTAGCATTCCATGTATTTGCATTTAATCAACACTTTTCAGTGAAAGATGCTCCCAATTTCCCATAAAGTCCTGGATTTTGTTTTTGTTTCCATTAACCAAAGTGACCATAAATGTTTGTGTTTCAGTGCATTTGTAAGCTGAAGGAGCTCCGCGTGTTGCACCTTCACAGCAACAAAATCGATACTCTGACGGAGATCGACAAACTAGGAGAGTTGCAGCATCTTCACACATCACGCTGCATGGAAACCCCATCGAAACCACCAGCAGAGACTACA